AGGCTGCAACTCGACGACCAGTTTAAAAGATTTCATATAAAATCCCATTTCTGCCTCAGCATGGAAATGATACAATATTTGTTATTCTGGTACTGATCTTTTGCAGTGCAACGTGATTGAAATTTAAGACCATAAACCCTATTTCCTGTCAAAGGTATTGGTGCATCTGAGAATTTTGGAGGGACTTTAATTTTTCCTGCTGGCACTGAAACCAAATCCCAGTTCCCACCGCCATTGCTTTGGAAGGGAAGTCCATAATTAAGAGCCTGTYTTGGAAAAAAATAAATCTCAGGCTCATTTAAAGCCCATCTGACAGCAAAATGCTCTGCTTCAGCCACGGCACGTGGTGTGTGACAGGCACAGGGGAGCAGGAACCCACAAATGCACATCCTGGGGTTGTGGGGATCCCTCCTGATGCCAAACTTTCTGCTGGCACTGCAAGCCCTGGGATCTCTCCTGACACAAACTTCTCCTTGGCTGAGGAGCCACCAGGGCAGATGGTGGGTGGGGGATGCTGCTGCTGACCTTAAAACGAGCGGCATTTGTGGAGGTCGGGGCGGCAGGATGGCCCTGTGACATATTTCTGACAGCTTAGACGCGCCAGATCGGATTCCCGCTGACACGAAAAGCCCTTTTCCACAGCTCTGGCAGTGCTAAGAGCTGGGGCAGCCTAATCTCTTCCTAAAACCCTCCAGTGTTGTAACCAAAACCTCGGAGTTGTGCGTGGAGGGGCGGATGTTGGGTCTGTGGTGTTCCTTGGCGCTGTTCCTTGGCCTCTGTCTCCCTCCCCGGGCTCTGGCATCTCTGGCTCGGAGGAATTGGGGTGATCTCTGTCCAAGAGCTGTGGGGTGACCCCTGGCAGCTCTGAGTGTCCCTGCTCCCTCATCACAGACACAAATTTAGAAGGTGCAGAAAGCACTTGGAGGTTTTGTGGTTGGGATTCTGTCCCCACAGCCAGGCAGGGACAGCCACTCACAAACTTCACCCTGTTTTCAGCAAACAGAGGGGAAAAGAGTTAGCAGAGCCCAGGCTACAGAAATGCTGCGGTTTTGTTGCACCTTCTCCCAGGTGGGAGGCTCACAGGGGATGGAGCAGCCCGTGGGGAGCAGGATCCTACAGGAGGAACTGGCTGGGCCATGTGGGACAGCAGAGTGACGTGTGCCCGTGATCCTGACAGGGTAATGAACATCTGAAATTCAYTCTGAAATTCACTCTGAAACCCTTCTGTAGCACTGAACAGTCTCAGGCAAAATCAGGATCAGGCTCAGTGAGATTTGGACAAAAATCACCTGGCAAGTGATTTCCTAATTATTTCAGTATTCATTTACTGATTACACAGCTCGGGTTTTTTCAGCCCACCAGCCCAAATCCACCTGGGGAAGGCAGGCTCTGCAAAGTGCTCYTAGAGGAAACCCAGTTTGGGGCCTGCCCATCACGGAAAGAGATGGTCCCTGGGTGAGGGGGATGTTTTCCTGTCAATGTAGCAATCAAATTTAGCTTCTGCCACTGTGGGCAACGTGGCATTAAAAGAAGGAGCTTAAGTTATTAAACTGAGCTGCTTTAATCGTCCGGTTCAGGGAAATCCATTGCTACAGGAGACCTGAGGATTAGAGTATTTTTACCACAAAGCCAATACATCTATTCTGATCAGTTAGCACTTGCTCACTCGTGCATATGAAACTTCACTCTCCGGGTTTGCACTCTCTAGCATGGGACCCAATGGAGTTTTATCTGGAGATTGACCCCGTTACCTTGAATCTCATCATTCTGGTGTCCAGCTACGTTATCTTGCTGCTGGTTTTCCTGATCTCCTGCGTGCTCTATGACTGCAGGGGGAAGGATCCCAGCAAGGAATACGCTCCCGAGGTGCCGGCCGACACRCAGCCCCCGATCCGGCTGGTGGTGATGCAGCAGGGCACCCCCGGCACCCGCTGGGCCAAGGGGCTCATCTCCGCCTACGAGAACCCCTCCGACCTGCCTGGAAAAAGGACTACGGTGGTGTGAGGGGTCCTGGCAGCCCGCAGCCCCCGTCCCCGCTGCCTCCCGGCCATGCTCGCCATCCCCAGGTAAGCGCGGCCGCTGCTTTATTCCATGCGGTGCCACTTCTCGGGGGTCATTCGATGTCGAGCTCTGCTCTGCACCCACACCAGCTCACCAGCCATAACCAGGCTAATTTGCCTTCTTGCTGCAGTGGCGGTGTGACCCATCCCCGGGCTGATCAGGGGTCTGGGTTTGATCTCCAGCCGTGCCCGGTGAGGTTATTTCGGCCGGGGCACGGTGCTGTGCAGAGCATCCCACACCGATGGGCTGAGCTGTGCTGCCCCACAGCCCTGGCACAAATTCCTCAGTCCCTGGGGAGGTGGGAACAGCCTCCCCAGGGAGAAAAGGAATGCCAAGGATTTTCAAAATAGAGACATATTCCTTTTCAATGGAAGCCAGCTGCTGCTSCCATCAGAATTTAACTTTCCGTGTTGTCTGTGAGCTCCCCCGAGGCAGTGCCAAGCCTGCCCTGGCACCTGTTTGCCACAGATAGAGCCCCCTTGCCCTGCACAGATATCCCTGGCAGGATACAACATGCTTCCTGGAAAAGCTGGGTGCAATGCCTGCTGCCCACGGGAAAGAGGGAACTGGGGTGAATTTATCAGAAATGTGGAACGTGTGAGTCACTGTCGTCCACTGGAATGGGAATTTCTGACTGTCCTGGATCTCAGTGTCCATCTGCACATCCCTGACCCTGAGCTTTCCTTCAGCTCTGTCACGTTCCTGCCAGGCCACATGAAGGTTGTTATTGTATCTCCAGTAAATTTAATGCTACCTGCTCCAGCTCCTGCTATTCCCATAATTTCAAAGCTAGAAGCTAAAGGCCTTTTTGGTTGACAAGTTTCTTTTGCTGGTTTTCTCCCTCTCGGTGCTTAATGGGATGTTTAACACCATTATTGTGTCGCTCTAAACCTTGCTCGAGTTCCTACATGTGATATTCTTTAACTGGTGGATTTTAGTTTGTTATTAAGTGAAAATTAGCCCTGGACCCAGACTGATGCAGGTGCCTGTCCCATAGGTGATTTTTCATCATTTTAAAGTAAAATACCCCCAGAGTCCTACAGAAAGCTTTAGTAAACAAAGTGAGATTTATTACCTGTGTCAGGCGTCGTGGCTGACTCACTGCATGCAGCGGTCCTGTTGCCTTCAGGACAGGCATTTCAAATACTTCCAGAAATAAAACTGCAGCCAATTCCAACCACAATTGAACAGAGCTGTTGGCTGAATTGCGTGGTTTGGACTCCAGCAGGGTAGGAACAGCCTGCCTGTGCCACACATCCAGTTTATGAAATCAGCCACGGAGCATCCTGGTGCTGGCAAAGAAATCTCAAGAACAACTCTTCATTTAACTATATTTGAAGGAAAGGTGCCAGAATGGTTAGTGGGGTTTCTATTGGTTTTTAAATTCCTGTGGGTGAACCCAGTTGTGTTTTCAAGCTGTTCTTTGCACCCTCTGGGTYTTGGATAAACCTGGTTTGGGAAGGAAGCCCGAATTGGAAGGAAGGTTCCTGACGGCTTGGTGTTGGAGTAAAACCCTTGATGTAACAAAACTGGCAAATCAGAAGTTGGTGGCATGATCCTCGTTCACGAGCCATACTGAAATAATGGTGTTGAATGTTTTGTTTTGGTTATTTAGCCCTGGAAAAGTGCAATTAGTTGTAGCTGCTTTGTCAAAACGTGGCGGTGACCAAGCTGCTCATATGCCACAGCTGCTGTCACCCACACAGGCCASGTTCTGCCTCCTTGGGCTCTCCCATCTGCCTTCCCTTCAGCCTGTGAGCACCTTAAAACCCTTTTTTGTGCTCGTGTACCACCATTTCACATTCTAGGAGCCTTCTCTGTGATAAGGGATCCCTGGCATTAGAGTACAGAAATATTAATCTTTGCTAACAGGACCTTGGGTGGGGGGGCTGCCAAAAAAGAGCTCCAAAATGTCAAAAAGAGCTCCAAAATGTCACTAAGAGCTCCAAAATGCCACAAAGAGCTCCAAAATGTCACAAAGAGCGTGGCACAGCTCATGTCACAGTGAATGCCACCGTGCCAGCAGAGAAGCTCTGCACCTTTTTGCTGAAGGTYGTGTAAATAWTGCAAAGGCACCGTGACACSTCGCYGTATCGCTGCCACCGTGTTTGTTTYTGTGGGTAAAACAGACTTGCAAGGCTGTGTTAATAAACACTTTTAGATAGCTGAAATCCTCCAGATATGAGGCTTTTTGTACATGAACCACAGAGCCCTGGCTGCTCGAGGCTCCATGGCAAAGTTGCTGATTTGGGCAGGGTAAGTTTTCCTGCTTTGGGAGCTGTCCCTGCAGGCATGGGAGCAGTTTCCAGTGATCTCTCATGAGGAAATTTATCAGTTGTGATAGAATTGGTGGACTCTGCCCCGAAATGTGGAGGCAGAAGCAGCAAATGGCACTTTCCTCCTGATTAGCAGGAGTGTAAATAGAAGGTAAATCCGTTTCAGGAAAATGGGAAACTAAAGTGCATCAGGACTTTGCCTTCCCAATGGCAATAAAATGGCTTTATTAATTATGTCTATACCAAGCTAATACTGGAGAATTTTGTCTTACCAGACCAATATTGGAGTATAGTTTATACTAGAGCAGGACTGGAGTATTATTATGGAGAGAGCCCTTGAGTATGCACTGAGAATTCCAAATGATTGAGTCCCAGCGAGTGAAATTACTGCTCTGGGGAGGTTTCTGCTGCCACGCTTTGCTTAATGACTGTGTCAGGATTAATGCATGCAAATGGGCTTTTATCAGGCCAAGCTTGCCAGAAATCAGCCTTGAAGCTGTGTTTCTTTGAGTGCTTGCAGTCGTCTGCCACACCATTTGCATCATTGAGAGAAACCAGGGATGGATGTTCTCCCAGCAGGATTGTTGTTCCCATAAATTTTGTGTAAAATGTGAAWCCCTGGCTGGAATTCCCATGGCATAAAACATCCTGAAACCAGGCTCTGCTGATATCTGTCCCAAACTGAGCTGTGCAGAGCAGCTCTGCAGAGCTGATCTCCCTTTGGGACACCTGCAGCACCTTCCAAGCTCTGTCCTGCTTTGGGGAGCACCAGGACGTGTCTGTGGGGATCCATGGATTGGGGGGAAGGAGCCCTTGTGCAGCTCCTTGCACATCCTCTGGGGTCAGGTAGGATTTTAGGGCCGGRATATCCAGCACAGAAATTCTGTCCTGCAGCAGGTGCCCTTTTTAAATGGGTAAAATTGCATTAACATTTATTCAGCATCATTATGAGCTGCAGAACGCTGSATGGGCAGACAAGGATTTAGGAAATGTTCTTTATTCCCAGTTCTGCCCTCGGTTTATGGGCCATCCTTGGGCAGCTGCTGTCGTCTCTGTGCTTTGCTCCACATGGTTCTGCATTCATTTTCTCTGCTCTTCTGCAGATTYCTCCYTTCTCAGCCATTTATGCAGTTCATRAGGGGGAATTTCAGTYCATGGGCTAACCCCRGTAGGGTCAAAGAGAACAAAATAAAATACCTTCCCACAAACAGAGCCTGGAGGGGCTTGATCAGGGAAATTGATGGACAAACCCCATTAAAGCTGGGCAAACCCCGGGCACAGCCTTACAAMAGCTGCCTTGGGTGAGCTGTGGTCACCACAGCTCTCTGATATCTGCATCTCTGTGATTTGGAGGGAGCTCAGGGGTGCTGGAAGGATTTATTGCTGTTCTGCAGGAACTGGCTCAATTTCAGCTGGCTTAGTGCCCTTCTAAAGTCACATATTCCTGCTTCTGTAAAGCCTTTATGAAAGGGTTTTACAGAAACAACAGGAAAAAAAGAAAGATTTCTAGATTTCTCCAATATTAATTCAAGCCAAACATGTCATTAAATTCACTGAAAATACAACTTTCATGTGAGGCTGTTCCACTGTAAACACACTGTCTAAGCCTTCAGATTTCTTTTTGAAATCCCTAATAAGCCACTACATATGAGTAGGGGATTAGTCCAGACAGACTAACCCATATTTGCCAGGGAGAGTTCCTTCCCATGCAGCGATTGTTTTGAATTTAAAAAGGGGTTAATCTTGTCTCTTTTTGTTTTTGATTGTTTCATTCTCTGSTAGTGCTGAGTGCAGAAGAACAGTGACATGTCCAAGTCAAACCCCTTGGCTGAGAGAAGAACTTGAAATTATAATTTTTACAGCCCAGAACTGCATCACCTTGAGTTATCAGTGACTCAGCTGCTGTCGGTGCTTTGGTGGGAATGCCAAGAGGCAGGAATTGATATTGGGAGTTGAATTGSAAATTGGAAATTCAATTGGAAATCCTCCCAGCCATGAGCCAGTGCTGCTTTGGGGAGCCCTACARCCCCTTGGTCATCTTTTAGATCAAACCCCACAAGTCTCTCGAGCTGCCTGTGTACCTTTGATATGGCCAAACACCAATCTGGGTCTCCTGCTCCAACCCAAAGGACTTTGTGGCTGTCCCAARTGCTGGAATCCCCATGCAGGATCTGCTCCTCAGGTGGGGTCTGGGGGCTGAAAGCCACTCCTCGTGTCCTGCTGGGGTCCCTGAGGGGCTCCTGATGAAGAGATGGCTGGAACCTCAGCAAGGATGTGCATGGGAGGAGTGGAGCTGCTGGTGCTGCTGCCCAGGGGAGGCAGGTGAGCTCCTGGGGCAGCTGCAAGGGCTCTGAGGTGAAGGTCTGGCTCTTCACGCGATGAAGAGCTAAATGAATTATTTATAAATAATTCATTGCTCTGACATCCACAGCAAAAAGCTCTCTGATTTAACAAGAGAAAACTCACAGCAGAATGATAAAAAAGGGGCAAACGGGAACAGCTGCCTTGTGCAGCTCCTGCTCTGCTCCTGGTTCAGCCCTGACTCCCTCCTCCTCCTCCTCACTCTGCTGGTTTCCTTGGAGACTCTGCTCCTTGCTTTCCCCGTCTGGCACCGACACTCCTCGACATGAACGTTTCAAAAAGGCATTTCCACCCGAATGTGACAAA